TCTGGAGGTTGTGTGGCTTTCCCCTGATTCCAAGGGGGCCTGGCCAAGAGCTTGAGATTATGTTTTCCTTATCTCCATATACATACTAGCAAAACCCGCCTTACTTGAAGTAACACAGGTAAGTGTACTCCTTTGTGTTCTTTACTACCAAGGGTGGGGGGTGTGCTTGTAGAGTGTGTCCTGTGTTGGAAAGATGAGGTGAGAAGTGAAAAGGCATAGAGGGCAGCAAAGCGGTGATGAGATTGGGAGGACTGAGAGGTGATAGAGTAGGAGAGTCTGGCCAACGGAGTAACGGAAATGGACAAACTCATCATTCCGGCTTCTTGACACATTTGTCTGGCTTCCAGAGCCGTGGCTTCCTTCCGTGGCTTTCATCCTTTTACAAAGACAACTTATAAAAAGCACCCAAGCACTCAGATTCCCTTTCTCTTAAATATATCACATAGGCAGAGAAGAGGGTACATATCCCTTCTATTTACATTACTGATCCATCGTCGCATTTACTCAGAAAGTCAGCTCATCTTCTAAAGAGCTGCTTTGTAGACCATATTGGTCAGGACTCCTGTTCAAAGGGGGAAGAAGCCCAGTTCGGACCAACCTCTGGCTTCTCCTGGCCTGTCAGTCACCTTCCCACGGACCTGCTGTCTCCTTGGGGCTGGGACCATGAGGGGGCGGCTCCTGCATCCACATCCTTGCAGCTTCACCTGCCCAGACCACAGAGACCCTTAGAGTGAGCACTGTAACCAGAATGGAGCTGTCCTATTTGCATCACACGTGAGAGCCTTGAAAAAGGTTTGGGGCAGACCGGGCAAGCACGATAGGGGAGTTGCTGGGATCCACACACACACAGAGTGTCTGCCACGTGAGTTGTGGGCCTGGCTCTGGATGTGACCAGCATAGCCGCCACTGCCAGGGACACCCCACTGTAGACTTGCAGCTTCCCTCTATCCCAGTAGGAGGCAGCACTGCCTCTCCTTGTCTGCTCAGCCCGGGCCTCTCCACAGGCTGTGATTCCAGGGTTCCGTCTCAGCAGGAATGGAATTGGAAAAGAAGATTTTATCTTCAGAAAACTCTCTCACCCCTCAAATGTCAAGACTCTCCAAGAGTAATCTAGATTTCCCTCCTCCTTCTAAGGTCTCAAATTTTAAAATGGAATCATAAAACAGAAGGAGCCTTTGGAATTATATCACTTCCAACACTCTGGTTTAAAGATGAAGAAATAGAAAAAATAAAGAAATAGAAATACACGAAGAGAGGCAAAGAGATTCAAATATATATTTTAGTATCTGGTAGCAAATTTCTAAGTCATCTGAACCAAACATAAAGCAATCAAGGAGAGAGAAAAATAGCTAAATGAGGTATCGGTTCTCAGTTTCTAGAAGGTAGGAACTAAACTTTTAATAGAAAGACAACTTATAAAAAGCACCCAAGTAACCTTGAAGAAGAAACACTTGTACAATAATTTGGACAAGCACTGTGCACTAGAAATATCATTTGAGCCACAAAGGTTAAGTCATAGACATAATTTTTGTGTGTGTGTGTGTGTGTGTGGTACGCGGGCCTCTCACTGTTGTGGCCTCTCCCCTTGCAGAGCACAGGCTCCGGACGTGCAGGCTCAGTGGCCATGGCTCACGGGCCCAGCCGCTCCGCGGCATGTGGGATCTTCCCAGACTGGGGCACGAACCCGTGTCCCCCGCATCGGCAGGCGGACTCTCAACCACTGCGCCACCAGGTAAGCCCCATAGACATAATTTTAAAGTGGCTGCCAGAAAAATTTTGAAAGGTAAAAAGAAACAGGTGAAATTAATTTTAATAATACTTTAATATTTAACCCACATATCAAATATATTATTTCACCACGTAATCAATAAAACATTATGAATGGGATCTTTTGCAGTTTTTTTCTGTACTGAGTCTTTGAAAGCTGGTGTGTATTTTACCCTCAGAGCACCTCTCAGTTTGGACCAGTCACATTTCAAATACTCAGTAGCCACGTGCTGGTGGTTCCTGTATTGGACTGTGCAGGATTGAACACCAGGTTCATTCCAGACCTTGCAAAGCCTTCAGGACACACTGTGCAGACACCTGTGCTTACCCAGAGCCCTTCTGAGAAATGTTTTATCTAAATGGAGTATAAGGGACTGATAACCTTTGATCAAAAGGAGCTTCCTGTTTCAAAATAACCTACTTTTAACTCCACCTCTCCTCCTCAGATAAAGTCCAGAAGGACACATGATAATCTCATCCTTGTTATTCTTCAACAATGAGCTAGAGTGGACACGGTCAGGTCAATGTCCACGGGAGTTGGATGGAAGAGGCTGTCCTGCTCTCTCCCAGAGGGACGCCACACTCCATGCCACAGGAGGGATTCACACGCAATCAGCAAGCCTGCTGAGAACAAATGTGCTGAAAACACCAGGGGCAACTTTCACAGAGCCGCCCTTTCTTTATAGGGGGTGGTGGGAGAGGAAGCTGTCATCAGAGTGTGTTATGAGGACAAACAGAATACCTCGGGCAGATTGCTCCTTTTGACAAAAGCCAAATAAGCAAACTAGCTTTCAGGATTTCCAGACACTTTCACATGCTCAGGAATGGATAGCGGTTCCAAACCCAGCGTCAAAATGGAGAAGAGTCAAGGCCAACCTGGATGCCAGCAAGGAGTGGGTTAAGAGGCCCTCGAGGGCTTCCCTGGTGGCGCAGTGGTTGAGAGTCCGCCTGCCGATGCAGGGGACGCGGGTTCGTGCCCCGGTCCGGAAGATCCCACATACCGTGGAGTGGCTGGACCCGTGAGCCATGGCCGCTGAGCCTGCGCGTCCGGAGCCTGTGCTCCACAACGGGAGAGGCCACAACAGTGAGAGGCCCGTGTACCGCAAAAAAAAAAAAAAAAAAAAGAGGACTCTGAGCCCCGCCTTCCCCAGTGGGGATGGGGGTGCACGTCAGTGTCTTTTGGGGGGAATGGGCGGTTTGCACTCTGCTGTCCTCAGCAGACTTGGAGGTTTGTTGTTACTGTTGCCTGGCCCGGTCACAGGGCCCACGTCTGCGCACCCCCTAACCATCTCCCCTAGAGGCGGCTGCATTTCTGTCATCCTTGCAGTGGCCTCTGAGATTGAGGGTTTCTCACCAACCAGTGAGCAGAGCTTCAGGCAACCTTGACCCGGGCTCATCCTCACTGCATTGAAGTAAAATAAGCATCTGTCCTAAAAGGAGGCAGAGTCCTCCCTTTATAGGGAGTGCGCGCGCCCTCCCCCAGAAGTCCGTGATGAGGGTATTTGTCATTCAGAGCCTCTCAGTCTTTTGTTCTAAAAATAATGACTGACAGCTACTGACCACTAACTACATTCCACACTGGTTTCTTGTAGCAACTCATTTAATGCCCTTTCTAATAATACTAATTCCAACTCAATCTAAGTGCTTTACAAACCGCTAGGGCTGCTGTAACAATGTACCACAGGCTGGGCAGACTAAACAGGGATTTGTTTTCTCATTGTTCTGAAGGCTAGAAGTCCAAGATCAAGGTGTTGGCAGGCCTGATTCCGCCTAAGCGGTTTTTTTTTGTTTTTTGTTTTGTTTTGTTTTGTTTTGTTTTTGGATTTTTGAAAATCTTTTTAGATATTTTATTTACTCTGATAGCCAAAAACTTACTTTCTACCCACTATTTTTCATATTTTTAGCTCCTAAAAATGTAATATAAAAGATTACTTTATCTTCAAGTGTATTTTTTAACATCTTTATTGAAGTATAATTGCTTTACAATGGTGTGTTAGTTTCTGCTTTATAACAAAGTGCATCAGTTATATATATATGTATGTCCCCATATCTCTTCCCTCTTGAGTCTCCCTCCCCCCCCCCCTCCCTATCCCACCCCTCTAGGTGGTCACAAAGCACTGAGCTGATCTCCCTGTGCTATGCAGCTGCTTCCCACTAGCTATCTATCTTACGCTTGGTAGTGTATACATGTCCATGTCACTCTCTCACTTTGTTCCAGCTTACCCTTCCCCCTCCCCATATCCTCAAGTCTATTCTCTAGGAACTCTGCATCTTTATTCCCATCTTGCCCCTAGGTTCTTCTGACCATTTTTTTTTTAGATTCCATATATATGTGTTAGCATACGGTATTTGTTTTCCTCTTTCTGACTTACTTCACTCTGTATGACAGTCTCTAGGTCCATCCACCTCACTACAAATAACTCAGTTTCATTCCTTTTTATGCCTAATATTCCATTGTATATATGTGCCACATCTTCTTTATCCATTCATCTGTTGATGGACACTTAGGTTGCTTCCATGTCCTGGCTATTGTAAATAGAGCTGCAATGAACATTTTGGTCCATGACTCTTTTTGAATTACGGTTTTCTCAGGGTATATGCCCAGTAGTGGGATTGCTGGGTTTTGAGAGAGAGTCAGTTCCATGCCTGTCCCCCAGTTTCTGGATGTTTGCTGACAATCTTTCATGTTCCTTAGCTTGTAGAAGCATCGCCCCAATCTCTGCCTTCATCTCCACATGCCATTGTCCCTGTGTATATCTGGGTCCAAATTTCCCCTTTTTATAAGGATACCAGTCATCCTAGATTAGGGCCCACCCTAAGGACCTCATCTTAACTAATTACATCTACAATGACCCTATTTCCTAATAAGGTCAATTTCTGAGGTACTAGGTGTTAGGACTTCAACATATCTTATTTAGGGGCACAATCCAACCTATAACTCATACATTAACTCATTTAGTCTTCTCAACGGCCCTCTGAGACATGTTCTTTGATAGTTTCTCCCCCATTTGCAGAGGAGGACACCTGAAGCACAGAGAGAGGAAATGACTTGCCAAGGTCACATGATATGTGTACAACCCTGAGATAAGTACTGTTCTTACCATCTTGAACTTAACCCTTGAGGAAACAAAAGCCTGCAAGGGTCACAAATCCCACCCCAGGTTACAGCTATTCATTGGTATAGCTGGAACTTGAACCCACTGCTACTTGGCTCCAGTATCCAAGTTGTTGACCACTCAGCTATACAACTTCTCTAAAATAAAATAAGACTTCCCAGAACTCAGGAAAGGCTAGTTTACCATTTCACACTTTCCAAAGTCTGCATAATGTTTTGGTGTGGGTGGTTATATATCATATTAGTGCTTGGAAAGGAACCATGATGATATTTTGTACCAGTGGAACCAGGTGAGTATCAAGAAAGGGTAAAGGGACCTTGGAGGTTTGCAAGTGCTTGAGTCCCTCTCCCAGCACTGCCCTGAACCACCTCAGGCTCTGCCATGGAACAGGAAGAGGATGGACAGGGCCATTCTGGGCTGCTTTGGTTAAAATAAAAGTGGGACGGGGAGTAAAAGGATTTGGGTTGCTGAAAGAGTCCCACAGATCTCCCCTTATTCCTTCTTCATTCCTGGAAGTAAGCGGGTCTCATCTTACTCACTTATGAAGAAATGGGGGAGCCTGGCTCCTGACCAAGCAAACCAGTCTTGCTCTGAGTCATACTGTAATGATTTTTCTCTAAAAAAATAAGTGAAGAGACACAGAAACTAGGAGTTGAGAGCTGAGTATCATTAATGTCACAGTTGGGGTCCACATGGCCCTCAGGACTGGCTGTTCAACTCCTTGAATTCTGAGAGGAATCCATTGAATTCCCCTCGCCCAACACGGCTACTTGTAATTGTTACTGAAGAGTGCTTGAGTTGTCTTTTCAGTATGCTTGGCTTGAGTCCTGTATACTCATAAAAGTCATATCACTACCTTTTATTTCATTGATTCTAAAAGATCATCTCCCAATTTAAAGAAGTGTCCTTTATTTAGTTCTTACAAACAAGACACCATACTCTAAATAGTAGTGTCTAAAATAAATCAAATTTATTTACACCCTTAGTGTAAAAGCTCCCCAAGGGCATTGATTTCATCTGTTTTGTTTACTTCTGTATCCTGAGCACCTAGCAAAGTGCCTATTACTTAGTAGTATTCAATAATAATAATAATGAACAAAGAGCTATGTATAAATATTTTCTCCCATTTTAAACATGTGGTAACTTGCCATATATACTGTTCTGCATGTTGCTTTTTTTTCTTGAAACTTATTCATATACACTAGATATTGTCAACAGAGGGGCAGGAGGCAGGATTCGTTTAATGAAAGAGTTCTAAGCAGAAAAAAGCAGCTCTCCATCCGTGCATTAGTGTACTAATCCCAGGAAGCAGCCATCATCCAGCATGAATTAAACCCACTGGGCAGGGCATGCATGGTATGTGACACAGCCCCTCTTTGTTCTGTTTTTAAGTGAGATGGCCCACACAATAGCCTACATACAGAACCAGTTAAATTTTTAAATGTCTATTTTGCCCTGTGGAATCCTTTTATCTTCCTACGAAGCTAAACATGAGTGACTTACACATTATAGGCATTCAAATGTGTAGGGGGTGAATTAAAAGTTAAGGTCTACTAAAAAGTAGCTTATATTAATTTTTTTTAAGTTAAGGTGATTAAAACAACAATGAGATACCACTACACACTTACTAGAGTGGCCAAAATCCTGAACACGGACAACACCAAGTGCTGATGAGGTTGAGGAGCAATAGGAACTCTCATTCATTGCTGGTGGGAATGCAGAACAGTACAGCCACTTTGGAAGACAGCTTGGCATTATAAAACTAAACATATTCTTACCATACAATCCGTCAATCGTACTTTTGGTATTTACCCAAAGGAGATGAGAACTTATGTCCATACAAAAACCTGCACACAGATGTCTATAGCAACTTTATTCATAATTGTCAGAATTTGAAAGCCCCCAAGATGTCCTTCAGTAGGTGAATGGATAAATAAACTGTGTTACATCCAGATAAGGGAATATTATTCAGCACTAAAATGAAATGAGCTATCAAGCCATGGAAAGGAATAGAGGAAACTTAAATGCATATTTCTAAGTGAAAGAAGCCAATCTGAAAAGGCTACATACTATATGATTCCAACTATTTGACATTCTGGAAAAGGCAATGCTATGGAGACAATAAAAAGGTCAGTGGTTGCCAGGGGTTGTGGCGGAAGGGGTGAGTGGGGGGATGAATAGGCAGAGCACAGAGGGTTTTTAGGGCAGTGATAAAACCACTCCATCTGATACTATCATGGTGAATACGTGGAATTATATATTTGTCAAAACCATAGAATGCACAGCTATGGACTTTGCATGGAAATGATGTCTGTGTGGGTTTATCAATTATAACACACATACCGCTCTGGTGGGGGATGCAGATAATGGGGGAGGCTCTGCATGTGTGGGGCAGGAGGTATGTGGGAAATCTCTGTACCTTCTGCTCACTTCTGCTGTGAACTTACAGCTGCAAAAAAAATAAAACCTTTTTAAAAAAATCAACACATTTAAATTTGTTTTTAATGAGGTAGCCTTTGCAATAACATTGGGGTTCAGCACAACTGGCTACTTGTAAAATCATTTAGGTGATTTGTCCCTGGCGCCCACCTATCCATCAACTTCATGACCTAGGGCCACATTTTTCTCTCTGCAGAAGTGTACCACTTCTGTAAGAATCAGCTAATGCAAGAGCTCCGTTCCCAGATGGCAGGGTCAAAGTTTTCTTTTATGTCCAAGGACATCTTGGTTGCTTCCAAGTTTTGGCAATTACAGTATTGTAGGATAGAAAGTAGGATATAGGCAGAAGTCTTGGAATCTAGAAGTGGCAACAGTGTGAGATGAATGGGTCATCAGAGATCAAAGGGGACCCCTTATTAGAGTTACTCTGATCATAGACTTGAGTTTCTTCAGAGCACTTACATCACCTCCTGAAATGTTCATGCCCATTAGTTTATTTATTCTCCATCTCCTCCCACTGGAATGTACACCCCATGAGAGCAGGACCTTCACCTTTCTTGTTCACAGCTGTATCTCCAGTGCCTAAAATAGGTCCTGGCCTGTGGTAGATGCTCAATGGTTATTTGTTGAATACATGAATAAATAAAACAAAATGAAGGTGACTTTCGGCTTCATACCATTCCTGGTGTTTAGGAGTCATTCATTTTGGAAATGCTTCTGGAAATTACCTAAGAATGCTTTTTCCATACAGACAAGAGGGTCATTGAGAAAGGAACAGCCACCTGGGTTTCAGTGGAAAACTCTCTCTTAAAATGTAAAGTTTGATTTCAAGGGCCTCCTGCCTCTGAGTGTAGGGGTAGCAGGTGAAGGTGCTGTGCTGATGTCTTCAAAGATGTACAGGTGTGACATAGCTACATAATATTGCCTGAGAAAGAAAACTGGAAGTGGAGGAGGAAGGGGAAGAAATGGAGTTGCTGTCTCTAAGCTGAACCTGGTCACCTTTTTTGAGCAAAGAGCCCTGGGATGTGAAGAAAAGGAGATAACAGTCATACACCCAGGTAGGTTATTACAGACTGTTGAGGAGAGTTCCCTGTGCTATCAGCCATGTGGCTGACAGGGTCTTGGTGCTCCGGCCAGGTGTCAGACCTGAGCCTCTGAGGTGGGAAAGGTGAGTTCAGGATATTGGTCCACCAGAGACCTCCTGGCTCCACATAATATCAATCGGTGAAATCTCTTCCAGAGATCTCTATCTCAATGCTAAGACCCAGCTCCACTCAACGACCAGCAAGCTACAGTGCTGGACACGCTATGCCAAAAAACTAGCAAGACAACAACACAATACCACACATTAGCAGAGAGGCTGTCTAAAATCATAATAAGTTCACAGATACCCCAAAACACACACCGGACGTGGTCCTGCCAACCACAAAGACAAGATCCAGCCCCACCCACCAGAACACAGGCACCAGTCCCCTCCACCAGGAAGCCTACACAATCCGCTGAACCAACCTTACCCACTGGGGGCAGATACTAAAAACAACGGGAACTATGAACCTGCAGCCTGCGAAAAGGAGACCGCAAACACAGTAAGTTAAGCAAAATGAGAAGACAGAGAAATACACAGCAGATGAAGGAGTAAGGTAAAACCCCACCAGACCAAACAACTGAAGAGGAAATAGGCAGTCTACCTGAAAAAGAATTCAGAGTAATGATAGTAAAGATGATCTAAAATCTTGGAAATAGAATGGAGAAAATACAAGAAACATTTAACAAGAACCTAGAAGAACTAAAGAGGAAACAAGGATGAACAACACAATAAATGAAATTTGAAAATCTCTAGAAGGGATCAATAGCAGAATAACTGGGGCAGAAGAATGGATAAGTGACCTGGAAGATAAAATAGTGGAAATAACTACCACAGAGCACAATAAAGAAAAAAGAATGAAAAGAATTGAGGACAGTCTCAGAGACCTATGGGACAATATTAAATGAACCAACATTTGAATAATAGGGGTACGAGAAGAATAAGAGAAAAAGAAAGGGACTGAGGAATATTTGAAGAGACTATAGTTGAAGACTTCCCTAATATGGGAAAGGAAATAGTTAGTCAAGTCCAGGAAGCACAGAGAGTCCCATACAGGATAAATCCAAGGAGAAACACACCAAGACATATTAATCAAACTATCAAAAATTAAATACAAAGAAAAAATATTAAGAGCAGCAAGGGAAAAACAACAAATAACACACAAGGGAATCCCCATAAAGTAAACAGCTGATCTTTCAACAGAAACTCTGCAAGTCAGAAGGGACTGGCAGGACATATTTAAAGTGATAAAAGGGAAAAAACTACAACCAAGATTACTCTACCCAGCAAGGACCTCATTCAGATTCAACAGAGAAATTAAAACCTTTACAGACAAGAAAAAGTTAAGAGAATTCAGCACCACCAAACCAGCTTTACAACAAATGCTAAAGGAACTTCTCTAGGCAGGAAACACAACGGAAGGAAAAGACCTACAATAACAAACCCAAAACAATTAAGAAAATGGGAATAGGAACATACATATCGATAATAACCTTAAATGTAAATGGATTAAATGCTCCAACCAAAAGACATAGACTGGCTGAATGGATACAAAAACAAGACCCATATATATGCTGTCTACAAGAGACCCAATTCAGACCTAGGGACACATACAGACTGAAAGTGAGGGGTTGCTTAAAGATATTCCAGGCAAATGGAAATCACAAGAAAGCTGGAGTAGCAATTCTCACATCAGACAAAATAGACTTTAAAATAAAGACTATTACAAGAGATAAAGAAGGACACTACATAATGATCAAGGCATCAACCAAGAAGAAGATACAACAATTGTAAATATTTATGCATCCAACATAGGAACACCTCAATACATAAGGCAAATACTAACAGCCATAAAAGGGGAAATCGACAGTAACACAGTCAGGGTAGGGGACTTTAACACCCCATTTTCACCAATGGACAGATCATCCAAAATGAAAATAAATAAGGAAACACAAGCTTTAAATGAAATATTAAATAAGATGGACTTAATTGATATTTATAGGACATTCCATCCAAAAACAACAGAATGCACTTTCTTCTCAAGTGCTCGTGGAATATTCTCCAGAATAGATCATATCTTGGGTCACAAATCAAGGCTTGGTAAATTTGAGAAAATTGAAATTGTATCAAGTATCTTTTCCGACCACAATGCTATGAGACTAGACATCAACTCCAGGAAAAAAACTGTAAAAAATACAAATACATGGAGGATAAACAATACCTACTAAATAACCAAGACATCACTGAAGAAATCAAAGAGGAGATCAAAAATTATCTAGGAACAAATGACAATGAAAACACGATGACCCAAAACCTATGGGATGCAGCAAAAGCAGTTCTAAGAAGGAAGTTTATAGCAATTCAATCTCACCTCAAGAAACAAGAAAAATCTCCAATAAACAACCTAGCCCATCGACAGACGAATGGATAAAGAAGATGTAGTACATATATACAATGCAATATTACTCAACCATAAAAAGGAACAATATTGGATTATTTGTAGAGGCGTGGATGGATCTAGAGACTGTCATACAGAGTGAAGTAAGTCAGAAAGAGAAAAACAAATATTGTATATTAACACATATATGTGAAACCTAGAAAAATGGTACAGATGAACCAGTTTGCAGGGCAGAAATAGAGACACAGGTGTAGAGAACAAATGTATGGACGCCAAGGGGGGAAACTTGTAGGGGGAGTGGTGGTTGTGGGATGAATTGGGAGATTGGGATTGACATATATACACTAATATGTATAAAATAGGTAACTAATAAGAACTGCTGTATAATATAATATAATTAATTTAATTTAATTTAATAGAAAAAAAACAACCTAACCTTACACCTGAAACAATTAGAGAAAGAAGAACAAAAAAATACCCAAAGTTAGCAGAAGGAAAGAAATCATAAAGATCAGATCAGAAATAAATGAAAAAGAAATGAAGGAAACAGTAGCAAAGATTAATAAAACTAAAAGCTGGTTCTTTGAGAAGCCAAACAAAATTGGTCAACCATTAGCTAGACTCATCAAGAAAAAAAGGGAGAAGACTCAAATCAATAGAATTAGAAATGAAAAAGGAGAAGTAACAACTGACACTGCAGAAATACAAAGGATCATGAGAGATTACAAGCAACTATATGCCAATAAAATGGACAACCTGGAAGAAATGGACAAATTCTTAGAAAAGCACAACCTTCTGAGAC